TTTCTTCGACAAAATCTGTACAGCAGACGCGTGCCATTCGTAGAGACTGTATTACTGATTCAGGTTTCGTCACGTCGAAATTGCTATAATTCTTTCGGCTCACGTATAGCGCGCGGGAGACCGCTAACTCGCTCTTCGAAACACTCTAACGAGCTTCGACATTTGCTTGGGGTCGCGCTCCTGATTCGACAGCGGTCCTATCTTCCCAAGCAGTATCCTATTGCCCCAAGGAGCAAGACGGTTCTCTTCGTATCTCAACGATGCTTGCTGTATCTTATCGTTTATTTCTCTCTCTCACCAAGCATTTACCTAACAATACTACTCCATACACTATCATCTAAATATTATTTACCACATGTTATTTTAGAAATAAATCGCTTCAGAAAACTATCTAAATGCTAATTATCCTGTGTGTGCATATATTTTTAATAAATTTCTGAAATACTTTTAATTTTTATAAAGCCGTTTCAGAGAGAATACACACACACATACATATATTATATATATAAAAAAAAATTTCATCTCTTATTTAAATAATAATTACTTATGATACAGCCTGTTTATGTATATAAAGAGAAGAAGAAAATATATCACCTACATTTTATTTTATTTATTATATAAATATACGAATTTTTCGTGCATAATTATATAATTTATCGTGTATACATATTAGTTTGACGAGTAGCTTGATTAAAAAAGAAAAATGAAAATAATTTGTCATTGATGTGGGTCTATAATTGCGGTTTCAACACCGATTGCAACTGCGATACATTTCTACAATGTAGTTCGACACGTCTGTTCTTGCGTGAAACGTATCGGTACGATATTCGTGTGATGTGGCATTTCCACGTCGCATTTGATGTGGACGCAATGTGACATAGACTCCGGAAGGTCCGAGAGTGTACGCGGGGAATATTGATTTTGCGTGTCGAGTGTCCTTTTTCGGACGGCTTACCGAAATTTCTTTTGAACATAATATACAAAACGGTCATCAAAGACAAAAGATAATATTACATAATAAAAAGTAATAAAAAAATAAAAAAGAGAAACATTTTATTTCGTAACAATATAATAAATATAGAAATTAAGTTTTTATCAAAATCTTATCAATATTTCTCAATTATAAATTGTATTTATTGGATATGTAATTAAATTAGATTAAATTCTATCTCTACTTCGAAACTTTTTTAAATTTAAATTTGTTTTTTGATTTGTTTTTAGAAAAATGTATAACGACACGAAATTGGATTGTTTCTCTTTTTTGGCAAGTAACGTGCAGAATAATTCTGATGGAAACTGAGCTGCAAAATAGCGGCTAAAAATCCGCGCAAAGCGAAACCCGATAAAGCTACGAAATCCCTTTTTCGTGATAATCCAGGTGCTACGCTGTGTGTGTCGACGTATTTATTTAACACCATTGCTGCAAACGCGTCTACCTCGATTATTTTTTTAACATCCTGCTGCATCCTGCTACACAAACGGATTATGAGTATTTATGTGTTCAGAGTACGGCGTTCGAATAGAAAGAGAAATATTTATCCCAGCATGTAGCGACATTAATAAACTATACGAGGATTTAAAAATTTAGGGAGCATGCTCGTATCGCTGTATATTTATTGTGTAAGCTACATATATGAAAGATGTCCTGCATCCTGTGCCTCTTTTCATTCTAAGTTAAAACTCTGAAAATTATTATTTTAATGACAAAAAAATTAATAATATTTCATAATTATAATTTAGTTATAATTTTATCACTCTTTCTCTCTCTTTCTAACATTTCAGACAATTAAAAATTAGAGTAACAATTAAATTAAGAATTTTAATACGTGTATAGAGATAAAAGAAAGGATTTAGTTGAAAAAAATGTTTCTTCATTTCTCATGCATCTTTTAATATTTATAATCAAATCGTTTTATTTACTTCAAAATAATTCGCGACTTACAAAACGCTTTGTATGCTTGCAAATGTATTTCATGCACGTATGAATCTGTGACTCACTTCGCGATTTGATTAAAGATCTATTTTCTCGGTAAGATGACTCGATAGGCGGAAATATGCGCTTCGCCTTGGGGTAGGTTCGTCTCCATACCAAGTATCGCAGAACAAACACAAACGCATATGTACGTATATTGAGTATCGACATCCGTGAGTACGACCTAAATCATTTATCGTCCGATTGCCAATTTGCAGCCCCACGAAAATTGCTCTCGTCATGCCGTGCGCCCTCTTTCGCGCGCCCCTTTCGCGCTATTCCAACTTTTCCTTTCTCTACCGATTCCGTGTGCCTCAATAAAATGATATAATAACAATAGAGAAATATACGAAAATTTAACTCAATAAAATTAAACATAAACTAAATTTGATTAAAATTAAATTAAAATAATATAAAACAACTAAATGTGACAGTACTTTTTTTTAATATATAAAAGCGTGTTTCAATTCGTTTATCATTCGTATTTTGTTTCACGAGAGCTGCAATTTCTCGCAAATGCGTCGATATTTTCAGTAATGTAAACTTGTTATATGGCTAACAATAACATTCCCAACAATTTGCGCGGATGGCTGATTTATGAATATGGATATGTTGCGACACATGTCAAAGCTCATCCACTCATGTAACTCGATAAATAACAGATGATGTCAGTAATGAGTTTTGCCAGCCGTAAAAAATTTTTTTTTTTCGATATTGAAAGAGAGATCAATAACTCTATTGTACGTGTCATCCGCGAAAAACAAAACATAAGAAAGACATTATAACTCTGGCAAAAAATAGTAACAATTAATTATTTTATTACAATAAAATTTAAAGAGAAATTATAAATATTACAAGCGGATTCTTCAAACAAAAAATAAGTAAAATAAAATGAGAATTTCTGAGTTTCTAAATATTAATGTTTCTAAATGTTAGCAAATACATTTTATAAATTATATATGTTTCGTATATATGTGCGTGTGTGTGTGTGTCTTTTTATATATTACAAATAAACTTGCAAAATCTGCAATTTTTAGAAATGGAGAACATTTTCGCTTTTTAAATATTTGAGTATGGAATGTATCTCAGTATCAGATGCATTCTCGCCATATGATATAAATTGCATGGAGAAAAGAGAGGAAGAGGCATGATACACCCAATAAGATAAAATTAGATCGCTCATTTCCGCACGAATAATGAAGCTACGCGAGACGCAATAATGACGCGAATATGTTTGCTTTGTCGAAAGGAATAGAAGCATGAACCAATCCGGTCCTTAATAACGGGAAAGGGAAACAGAATCACCCTTCTTTCTGCAAGAAGATACTGGTGCTATTCCCCAAGGTAAATATCACAAAAGGACAAATGAAGAAAAGAAACGTGAACTGTATTCACCGATATCGATCATTATGGCATTTACGATTTCTATGCCATTATTTTTGAATCATTATATGAAATAAGCAAAATGAGAGATAATAGAGAAACAATATATCATTTAATTTCTTCGTAAATATCTAATCATATTTTATAATTATTTAAAAAGTAAATTTTAATGCCTAAATAAGTTATCTAACAATAAAAATATATAGAGAAGCATATTTGAGCATCCTATATGAGATAAGTAATTATTTAAATTATAGACTTTACTTTATAAAAAAAATTAAAAAAAGAATATATGTATATGTACAAATAAATATCCAAAGAAAACTAAATATATTGTATTTTCCACTTTTGCATATAAAAATAATATTACAAGTTTTTGTTATACAAATATTATTAATTTTTTTTGTTATTTTAGAGTTTTTATCTAAAAAAAATTAAAGTCGCAAGATGACTCAAAGTATCATTTAATTAAGAATTAATATTATCTTCAATGTGTGTGCGCAAACTTAACGAATAAAGTCAACATTCGCTTTGATCGCAATCTAATGAACATCCTTGTTTTCGTCTCGCCGAGGGCTAATCCTTTGGCGATATATACGCATAAGGAATAAGAAGACGACAGCGCACCTTGCGTCATGGATGCTGGTAGCCGATAGCATCCCTTAAAGTAAACATCGCGGAAGGGCGGCAGCGGACTTCTTGAGGGTTGATCAAAGTGCCTTCACACCCCCGGGCAGCATATTTGATAGCCTTCGCGAGGATCGATCCTCTCGCTGAGAGAAATCTCGAGAGTCCTTTACAAGCGAAACACGAGCGGCGCGGGACTATGAGAATGAAAAGAAGCAAAGAGAACAACACTCAATGCTCAATTTTTTTGGATAAACTTGACCATCTCTTAATATCGTAAAAGTACATATTAAATTTTTATTTTCTCCCAAAAGTATTCTCCAATTTTATTTACTCATATCTCTATTTACACATTGTCCGATATGCACTGCAGTCATATTACTGTACTATGATGATTATTTCGCGATTATTTTCGCAGTAGACGATTGCGTGAAATCCGCGAATCGCCAGCGGCGAAATGGAGCTAAATTCGATATGCGTAGCGCCGCGAATTTGCGGCTCGGTTTCCAAAATTAGCTCGACGAGAGGGTGTATAGGAAAATCAGCTCGCCTCAGGGGATGACGAGGCTGGTCATGGGGTATAGTGAATATTACGGGCCTTTAGGGGAAAGGACAGAATGTGGAAAGAGAAATGTTACCGAAACGAAGAAGGACGAATGTCCACGTTAAATACGACGATTCACCGCGTCCGCTTGCAAAATTGCTTCCGTTTTTCGATTAATTCGAGATCGCGAGCGCGTGCGAGTGAGCGCGTGCCGCTGACAGTTCATTTCGAGATCTGCATTCGGAATTCCAAATTCCCGAAAATTTCCAGGTGAGGATTAATTCACCGCCCGATACAATGTCGCTATCGTTTGTTCGATTCGTAAAAACAAAATAAATGGTATATACTTAATTGAAGATCTGAAAAAATATATTTTTAAATATGATTTCGTCATTTTCAATATTTTATCGTTCATTATTTTACAGTTCAACAATTATAATAAAATAACAATTTAATGTATTGCCACGCAATATCTTTTTCTTAATAGTCATATAATTTATCGTTTGATTCGTATCAAAATATAATTTAATGCGATTTAATCCTTCATAATTCAATGTTGTAGAATTCATTATATATACTTTATGATTTAATAATTATAATTAAATAATAATGCAATATTACGATCTCTCTTTGAATATAATTTATCGCCTATTCGATTTGCAAAAACAAAATACGTGATATTTATTTAATTTAAATGCAATTTTAAAATATAATTCTCTTTCCAATATGCAATTTAGCATAATTTAATAATTATGATTAAATTATATTTCATGTGCTTGCAGAACCTTTAAATAGATCATTAAATTTCGCTGTTAAATTGCTGCCAATAATTCTTACAAAATGATTGTACAATCGAGTGCATCAATAATATCTGGTGCGTGCGTCCACATTTACAAGAATGCTTTTTAACATATAACTCATCGATTCTTTTCATTTTTTATCAATACGAATCAGTTAAATTATGCATAATTATGTAATTAAAGAAGTGTACTCTTTAATATTACGGAGAAGTATTATAGAGAAATTTGTAACCACTGATTCAATGCACTGAGCATTGTATACGTAGCTGTGTCAAAATAAGAAAATATTTTAACAGAGATATATCAACGTAATTTAAAAATAAACTATTTCTAGTGATTTTTATTTTATTATTTCTAATATCTATTTCTATTAATCTCTTTAAAATGAGTTAATATTCTTTTGAGTAAAATATTTTTAATTGCGGGGAATCTTGATCGCGATTGATTACCGTTATTAACACATTACTTCATTACTGTTTTCAGTACCTGTTTCTATTAATGTTTCTTTGGCAAAGTCTTAATTAAAACATCTAGTATTCGAAGTAAATCTAGTATTCAAAACTAATCACGAACTACCTGCTGTGTAGTTTTTCCGCGATGTTGCCACTGATAAAAATGATCTGCATTTAAAGACCATCCAGGTGCAAAGCTGAATCCTTCTGTTGGCGCCTGCGAGCTGGAGACAGGTGTAACTGCATCACACATACACATGCGATGGCACAGCAAGGGATCTGGAAGTTCCGTATAGACACCTCTTCTACCGCCAAACCATCCCGTTACCATGCACTTGTCGTTTAACTGGGCCGCTGGATCGTGATTGCATCGCGATTGCATCAGCATCTCCTTTTCCAAGGTATATAGAGTCTCGAACTCCAGGAAGGACATACCAGATCTTTCGCCGACGCATGTTGATGTGGTCGACGACACTTCGAGTCCCAGACCCATCTCGTCCTGAAACGAATCGTCATCCAACAACGGTAAAAATTTCCTCGGCGAACGCTTAGGACTATGATACGTCTGTTGACGTTCTTCTATCGATGGTCTTCTGGGCGATTTTCGGTCGCTACAAGTTCTTCGCGGCGATGTGGATGATCTGCTAGGGCTCGATGACGAGGATTCGGTTACTTCCAAGGTTTTTTCCGGGATATTTCCCGCTAGGGAGGGTATCAGCGATCGAGAAGATTTCAATCGACAAATCCTGCTCTTCGGCTTGGTTCCATTGCTAGTGCGTGAATAGCCCGCGGGCGCCTTGAGACCCGACATTGTTCTTCTTTCATTTTTCGAGTCGCTCTATGCAATCGCGATTCGTCGAATAGATTTTCAAGTATCCAGAGAAATCTAACAAGATCCACAGAGTAGACGATTCGATTAGATCGCATTCGGTTCTTCTAATTAGAATTTATTGAAAATTCTAATCTTATATTACGAAAATTCAATGACGAAGAACATAATTGGAAAACATGTAATTATATTTCGATATGCGCGCGATTCACAATCAAACATTATTTTTGTCTCTGATTTAATGGTAATGCTGAATTCTTTTTTGAATTTATTATACTTTCCTAGCATGCGTGTATTTATTTTTAGATTTATTTTAAAAAAATACAATTTTTAATTAATAAAAATTTTATGGTGTCATCGATATGGAAATTCCATAATCTGTCATCGATGAAAATTGCATAGTCTGTAAATTATTATAATAAATTCTTCATTTTATACTTAACTTTAACAGAATACTATGATAAAATAAGTATCGTTGTCTATCATTATTAAATATGCGCGTATTATCGCAATAAACATAAAAAGAATCAATTAATCATAATATTCGACACTTCACATTCTTGCATTATTAATAAGTTCCACGAAAAATTTCATCGATATCCATTGACCAACCTTGAAATCACAGACCGACACGGGAGGATGAATACACGACCATCCTTTCTCGGCAGGACTGACGGTCCGGCCCATTGCAGGACGATGCGAGGCGTCGCGGCGACGAACGTGCGCACGCGCATATTGCGATTGTATTGGGTGAATCTACACAACCCTTAGTTTGCCACCTAAATTATCCGTTACATACGGCAAAATATATTTTTGTGATATAAATTATTTTTTTATGTATTTTCCCTCCCTCTTTGATGCTTTAGAGATATAACTCGGAATATATCCAGATAACCGGACATCCAACCGTCCGTCTGCTTATTACCATTGCATACAAATAAAAAAATTATAATTTTTTAATGTGTGCGTTGCAACAAATTAATTTATATAAATCAATTTAGTATCTCTATTCATAGATAGATAGATAAAGTTTTTCGAAAGAAACAATATAATTTTATAATTAAATAATTATGTAAATCTATAAAAATTCATAAATTATTTATCTCTTCATTTATCTATTCAAAAGATTAAATTAATTAAATTAAGAAGAACTATGTAACTATATGTTAATGTTAGTGTAACTATTATGGTAATACATTATACATTTAAATTTGATATTGTCAAACACAGTGATTCCTCGAGCAAAACACTATATTTATATAAAACCCTTTTATCCTTCTTCTCAATATGTTATTAAAATATTGAGCTTACAATTGCATCGCACATTAAAAAAAAAAAAATATTATGGTGTTGCAACACAAATAGTAAAAAAACTTTTCAGAAATTGAAATTTTATATTTCTACTTTCATAAAGTTCCTCGTCACATTCTAAATAGAAACGGCTCTTCTCGATGTTTTCAAAGATCGATTAGATTATATATGTTTCAAAAACACTCTGTATATACGGTGAACCAAATGAGAAACGACGATGGAGAAAGGGAGGGTGACGATTATTTAACATTTAACTCGTAGTGCGTCGCCGTAAATTTTGCGAGCACTCGAGTTAGATGCGTGGTACGCGTCGCGTCGCGGCGCCGCGCTGGCTGCTTCGAGGTGTGAGAGGTTTCGTAAAATTGGATTATCGTCGTTAATTGCCGGATACTAATGGAAATCGAGCGTATTTGGATTATGACGACCGGCATTCGAGAAGAAGAGAAATTTGTGAAGGAAACGTGACGATGAACGATTTAAAGGAACTCTGTAATTTAAAAACTTCTTACAAGTATATATTATCATTATTTTCTTTTTATAAAAAAATATCTGGTGAGAAATAAAAACTTGGTTTTCATTCGAAAGTAACTTTTGAAAGAGAAATCACAATATAATTGCATCGAATAATTCGCCAGTTTATTTTACTTACGTCTCATTATCTCTCTTCTCAATCAAGAAAATCATTAATATCAAAAAAGCTAAAAAATAAAAATAAATAAGAGATATATATTTTTTTCTAATATTCCAACACCACGTACTTCAGTAATATGTCTACTTGTGTGAGCATGATTCTTGACAGACAAAATATTTCACTGAAATAGATACCACCTGCAATACCTCAGCGCCGTTTTGCATAGAATGTATTATTACATAATAACGATATTAAACATCAAATTAATATTTCAAAACATTATTTTTATAGTTTTATGATGTTTCTCTTCCTTGAAAAATTCAATAGTTCAAATTAATTTTTTAAGAAATAAAAATATTAAATATTTTCTTAAATTGTTAAAAATATTAAATTAAATTTTTCTTTCTTTAAATTATCATTAAAATATTATATATTTATGATAATGTAACAAACGTGTACCGATATTGTAATACAGATTGAAGCATTATTCCAGAGAGGAATAAATATTCTTTTTCTAGCGATTCTACTATCGCAGTTGTTTCGAAAACATCGGTAATCGAAAACCCATCGACAAGATCCGTCCCGGCGATATCTCGTTTTGTCGGGTCTTCGAGAATCGAACGAAGCATGACAAAAGACAGTATCCCCGAGCGATAACAAGACGAAAGACGCGGTCTTTCTCACTATTCGATATCTCGATCGTTGCTAAGGTATTTTCCGACATTGGGATAGAGAATGACGGAGGCGACGCAGGGACCAAAATCACCATCCAGACGTGTGTACACGTGGGGTGAATATTATAAAAGCGCCACCGTGATAAAGGAAAAGGTACACCACCCTTCGAAAAAGCAGCCCTCTCCCGGCTACACCGTATGACGAGTGCCGGCACAATATCACCCCTTACTCCTTGCAGCCTCCCGCAATCCCTCTAGGACAAATTTACATATTTATGGTGAGTGTTTGACGCACCAGAAGATTTCGAATGCATGCTAACTAATAAGTTCGCGCTACTTGTTGTCCGGGTGACATTAAAAGCCCGCCTGATTTGAGGGTGACGTTAATTAATGTAATCCTCATGCTGAGATAGTAAGATAAGAATAAGATTAAAAATTTCCGGAAAACAACATCAAACATTTTGCATAATAATCGTAGTATGGACCAGTAGACATAGTAAGTAATAACATGTTATAATAGTATTAAAAAGTTTTAAATTTTAAACCACTATATATAATAATATTTAATTGTGTGTGATATTAATTCTTACACATTTAAAAATGTACTACTTCGAAAAGTAAAAAATTTTTTAATTTGAAGAATTAATCTGTAATTTTCGCTGAATATTAAGATATTTGAATTTTTTAATTCTAAATTTTCGAATATTTAGAACGTCAAAAATTTATTATTATAAAGCAAAGGCATGATAAAAATATTTAATTCTCAGACTTATTTTTATTTTCTCTTACCCCTTTTGTTTTATTTACAGATAATCTTAATTATAAACAATTTTTTCTCAATTTCTTTTGTATGTTATATAATTCTTTATTTTAATTTCATATTTTTATTTGAAGACACGTCATATTATGTAATATATGTATTATATATATTATCTAAAGGTATAATATACAACATAATACAACATAAAAAAATTCCAAAAGAGAATCTAAGAAGATTCCTGCTTTGAGATAACAACTTCTTTTGCCGTCTGTATAATTTTCTACAATTCATTCTTAAATAAGATCTTCCTTTCAACATTAATCCCTAGAGCAAAGATCAATTGCGAAATTTCATGGCGGAAATAATTTCAAGTCCGCCTTCAAACGTGACACTTGCTGACTTATAATCACCCTAAAGAGTAACCCTCCGGGCAACACGAAAGTGATGTGCGTGCCGACAAGAGAGAAAAAGAAGGAATCCATCATAACGAAGATACGCACACGTCACTCAATACTAAGGGGTTTCCATATGGGTTTTTAATTTGATTCTATTTGACCGATAACTTAATATTTCGAAGTCCCCTTCGTGAAAAAGATTTTTCACGCGCTAAAGTATGCGATTGGATATTTTTTTAAGAGTCAAAAATCTATACAAGTGGTCAATTCCAAATACACATCTTGGAATTTCTTATTTTTTACGTAATCCACTATATAAAACTTTATTTGACCAAAACTATTAATATAATAAAATTTATAACTACGTACCACTTGTAAAAAATTGTTGCAAAAAATTATTTCGATATTTTGTAGAAAATAAAAAAAAAGAATATAAAGGTTATATTCTTATATACAAAATTAAATTTTGGATAAAGTATAAATTACAATATAAATAAGTGTGTGATGAATTAAGTCAATCAAAATTATTTTTTTTAAATTGAAACATCGAAAAAAAATTTGTCAAGGCTTCAAAAAACTGCGAGCGCTCTTAATATCGCATAAACCTGAGCGAATAATGTCTCTTTATTAGCAAAACCAGTCGAATCGATATGAAAGCCCGTACGCAAACAAACACACAAATGGAAAAGGAGTAGGAGGCAGCGGGTGATGACAGCCAAAGGGTCGTCGTAATAATTAATAAAGCCACACCATCGGGCTTAACGCTGTCGCAACTTCTCGCTTTCCGGTCTTCCTGTCGACTTACTTTTCCGTTTCCACGAATTCAATATAATAATGCACCCGCGCTATCGGGCCGTGCCCCGCGGCTTAGTATTTTAGGCCAGGGGTTCTCAGCCGATGATTCAAAAGTCGTCAGACTAAAATTACAAAACTAAATCAAATATTATTGTAAAAATAGAAAAAAGGTAGCTCATTGTGTTGCATCCTTTTCGTAAAACAATTTTCATTTATACAATTTAAATTTCTTTAACCTCCCATCTATTTCTAAAATTTTTCTTTAAAAAGCTTTTAAGATTTATTTTTATTAACAGCTACATGTTTTATTATGTGTGTGTATAGCGTAAACAAGCTACTTATAACATGTATAAAAAACTAAAAAATTTGAGCTGTTTAGCTTTGACATCAAAGCTCTGCATTCACATAGCAGAGCTCGCGGAAGAAGAACCGTATTCACCAAATCTACTGCGAAGGGTAGCTCACGGAAAACGTTATTGCTATGTCACTGGCTTCGGGATTATTGCGAATCATTTTTTCCACATGAAAGTGAAACCTTCTAGATACATAAAAGGATTTTGCAGTCGCAAGAATAAAAATTGAATCTCTTCAAACCTTTTATATTAAAATTTCTAATATCTCATATAACATTAATCAAATCTATATATTATTATATTATACAGATGTATATCATACAAAACATACACAAAATATTTTTTAATTTTTATACTTGGGATGTTTAATTCGAATTTAATCTCAAATATAATACGTGTATATGAGAATTACACATGTACCGAATAATTTAATTTTAAATATTATAGATGTATATATATATATGAGAACTTGTATAGACTTCATCGAGAATATTGAAGCTGTGCCAATGAAGGCACTTTCGTACGTTTCATAAACATTTATTTCTGTTATCAGCGATCATGATTCTATTACATCGGCCAGGCAATCAAATAAGATCTCATTTGACAAGGTATCGAGTCGTACTACAGACCGTCCATTCGTGACCAGTTCGACAAAATATAAAAAAAGCTCTTGTAAGGAGAGGATGTTTTGTTTTTAATAAGATAAGTGTGCTTTTGCTCCGCAAAGCATTTT